GGTCCAGTCCTTCAACGGGGATATGAACGATCAAACATAACTCATTAGCCTGGGCTACTATCTATTCGAGAGCTTCATACACATTCTGCACAATTTTATAAAATAATCTCGAACTCTCTTCTTCAGAGCAACCATCTCGTCCTCATGAGCTTTCTGATCCTTTACACGAGACTCCTTTTCTTGCTGAAGAGCCTTCCGAACCTCCTCAGTGTAGCGATCCTCCTTAGTAACAACGTTGAAGGTCTTCTGATGTCGTGTTTTCTCTACCTCGAGGGAAGATTCCATCTCAAGGATCAGGAAGTCAGGGCGAAAGAAGGGTTATGGGTTTTCGCCTCCTCTTGCAAATCCTAAGCCTTTTTATTCTTCTCTTAGATGTTAGCCAACTCCTTTTGGAAGGTAGATCACTTCCGCTCCATGTCTTCGCATTTTCCTTTCCAAATGTCCCTTTACTTGGAAGGATTACCCACTACCAAGACATCACCTCGTCCATCACCAACTAGGGAAAATAGAAAGGTTGTCCAGTAGGTGTGATAGGTGATCTTAGAGAGAAGTTCCATCTTCTGCGTCTCAGGAAGATTTTGGACAAAGGATAGATCTTCTATGGACACGGTAGTAACGGCTTCCTCGAAAATGCAAGGAATCCGAGCAAGACGAACGACTGATAGTTGGAGTAAAGGAATAATCAAATCTAAAGCAGCATCCTTTGATAAATGAGCCCGTTTAGGGGAGTCATCTTCAAAAGGAGAATGAAAATCCTAGTCCTGACCCTTCTTTATCGAAATAGGAGAAGGCTATGGCAGATCTTACACAAATAAATTGGTAGCAACACTTGTAAGTTAATCAACCTCGGGGGTAGATGCAATTGCCCTGGCGTCATAGGAAGGTGCATGAGTTGTAGGGGGTGTAATAGCAGTGCGAGGAGGACCCGACTTGATACCTTAAGTGTTGGCAAGAGAGTAGGTCATTTGTAGTTTGTCCATGTTAATTGCAAGATATAACCACACATGTAAAAAAAATATAAGGTTCACACTACTTCTCTAGCCATCTAGTTATACTTAATCGCGTCGGTCGGCTCCACCAACGTCATCGTTAAGCCAAAAAATTACACCCGGTCAACCCATGTGCTCCACATGGGCCTTTATATCAGCATCTCTAGGACCTTGGCTGTAGGTTCTTCAGTATGAAATCTTCAACATGTTATCTCTTTAATATGGTAGCCAGCATTTCCAAAGCTTACAAAGCAAGAGAAGTCGAAACTTCTGCCACACGAGAGGTGAGGCATAGAAGTACCCGTGTGATCCTCCTCAGAATCATCATCAGACAAGAGGGAAAAGAAAGAGAAATTTCTTGAGGTAGCACCCTCATCTTGGGAACCCACCGAAAACCTTTTCAAATCATAATAATCAATTAGGGATATAACCTTAGGACCCAGGGCAAACATAGACGAAGGAGAAGGGTTTGAACCATGAGATACTCCCATTCTCACTACAAGAGAAGCATCGCTCTTAGAATTGCTAAATATGCGAATAGGACTGGCACTCATTTTGATCAAGGTATAAAAATTGTTGATGGTAAAGTATGAGGTGAGAAGGGTAGCTAGTAAGAGGAAACTGATGAAAGCAAATGTAATAGAGAGGTGGAAGCTTGGAATGAAGAACTGTAACCATGATTGTCAAACTCGCGGGTAGACTCGTAACTCGTGTGAGTTTACGAGTCTAGGAAGCATAAACGAGTAAACTCATGCATAGAATCTTTTTTTGATAGACTCGAGTAAACTCAGGTGGACTTGCACAAACTCGTATAGAATCGCAAGTCTATAAGTTTTTAAAAAAAAAATTTTAAAACCAAAAAAGGCCTAAATTCCCCAAAAGGTTCTATTTTATTTTAGAAAAACCCTTTTTTTTGCTTGTATGATAATTAGATAGTCTCTCTCTTAGTCTCTAATTTCTGCAAAGTTTCTTCCTCCTTTCATCAAAGACGTGAGTTTGTTCTGTCTCTTGCCTTGTTCGTGTTCATGGGCATAAATTAATCCTCTGTTGTGTAAGTATTTTCTTATATGATTCAATTTGATGCTTCTCATGCATGATATCTTATGTAAAGGTGATGCACCATTGTCCAATCAGGTTCAATGATCCCAATGCACATGTATCAATTTGCATGTGACAAAATAGTTTAGAAATTTTATGGTTTATGACAAAAAATAGTTTAGGAAGGATATGTTATCTATTAAAGGGTGGGATTTCTACGGATATATGACTCTAGAATTAAAGAGGTTTGTAATTTGTATTCTAAGCTTAACTTATGGCTCCTCTAGTTGTGAACATAATTGAAATTCCTTTGAAATGACAATGAATTATTATTGGTTTGTTTATAGATTTGATTTTAATATTTTTAGAATTATTGATTTGCAATATTATTTACTTTTTAGGTTCATAAAAAGAGAAGAAATAGGTTGCATCAAAAGAGGTGAATAACTTGGTTTATGTCATGTATAATTTAAAGTTGAAAAGTGGAAAAGAAAAATCAAATAGTGTTGTTATTTCATTTATGTCATATGCGAGACATTTATAAGTTTAAGTACATGAGTGTGTCATATATGTGCAAATTATAAGTTTTTGAATGCCATTTTTAATTTTTCATAGACTCGTACGAGTTTGTGAGTTGAGTCTGCAGTCGAGTCTATAGACCCTAAACAAGTCTGAGTAGACTCGCGAGTTTGACAACCTTGACTGTAACTATTCTAGTAAATACTACTTCCAAGAGGGTAGAGAAGAAGACTCTTGCTAGTAGAAACGCTCGTGAATGAAAACTAGCAAGAAGTTTTATCAATATTCAACAATCAATAAATATATATATATATATATATATATATATATATATATATATATATATATATATATATATATATATATATATATATATATATATATATATATATATATATATATATATATATATATATATGTATAGGCGAAGGTAAGCAACGAACCAAATCAGCTGCAAGGATAAGTTGCAAAATCAACACTTGAAAACATAAACAAACATGAGCGCATTATAAGCAGCGTCATGTCCTAACTAGTCACCTCAAGCCACGAGTCCGAAAGGATCAACGAAACGTTTTAATGATGAGAAGACATTTAATGCGCTTGTCCTCTACTACTTTTCAACTGACTCCAAGTGGTTTTGTTTCTGGTCCGAAGCAAACAACAACCTAATAGGCGACCACGACTGCTAAAGACTTTCCCGCCTTAGTAATGTCCGACAAGTTTTGGAGGCAACTGTTATGGACCAGCTAAAGGTCCAAACATGCCAACCCACTTCAAATGACCAAACGTATAAAAGCCCTATCACAAAATATTGAAGGTACACTTTCTGATCTCCACTTTTCACTACTCTCATCTTAATTTCTGAATGAACTTTAGCGTTAGAGTGCTAACTTTGCAAAACCACCCTACACTGTCATATCGGAGATTAACACCACCGTTCAGTATTCCACGTCATCAACTTACCCCTAATTCTAGTTCTAGAACAGTTTTGAAATTTAAATTAATTTTTATTGGTAGATTTGATATCTATATACATCATATCATATAAAAATATTATCTCCTTGAAATACATAGATCTTCACAATTCAAAAAGCAATAAAGAAAAAGAAATTAAGAAATTAAGATTAAAGAAACCATAATAATGGAATAATAAAAGCAAAAGAAGAACCTCAATAAAGCTACAACACTTGCAGACATTATTGTTCTTCATCACCACTTTTCATTCATCACTCAATCATATGCATTCATCTCTAACAATGAGCTTCCATTCAATCTCACTACTACTAACAATAATTCAACTCACAATAGCAAATTCTCAATCCACACTTTGTAGAACTTCATGCGGTTCCATTCCAATTCAATATCCTTTTTCCATTGATGATGGCTGTGGAAGTCCATATTACAGATACATTGTTTCTTGTTCTCAATCTTCTGATCATTCACATAACCTTCAACTAAGAACACCTTCTGGTAGTTACCTTGTTCATAATGTTAGCTATATTGATCCACACATTGTTGTCACTGATCCATTCATGTGGAACTGTGAAGACGGCGAAAGTTATCGACCAACAAGACCGTTTAGCTTAGACACAAGCACGCGCTTCAAGCTTTCGCCACAAAATCAGTACCTTTTCTTCAATTGTAGTGAAGAGAAAGTTATTGTTAAACCAAAGCCTGCGTTTTGCGAAAAGTTTCCTGAACACTGTGATTCTTCTTGTGACAGTGCTAGTTATCTTTGCAGGCATTTGCCAATGTGTTCTTTTGCTATGAGTGGTAGTTCTTGCTGTTCTTATTATCCTAAAGCTACTGAATCTTTGAGGTTGATGCTTATGTATTGTTCAAGTTATGCCAGTGTTTATTGGAGAAATGTTGGTGCTCCTCAACCTTATGATCAAGCTCCTGAATATGGGATCAGAGTTGATTTTGATGTTCCCGTTACAACGCGGTGTCTTCAATGTCAGGATCAATCTAAAGGTGGTGGTGGAACTTGTGGATTTGATACACAAACTCAGAGTTTCATGTGCTTATGTAAGGAAGGAAATTTCACCACTCATTGCAATGGTATGTCTCAAAAAATTATTACAACGATAACCGATGAGTCATTGTGTTCTTGTGCGTTTATTTATGTGTTTAGTATTTGTTGGCAGATTATGATGCTGCAAGGCACAGTAGGAATGTCCATGTGATTGCAGGGACAGTTACTGGTATTTCAGCTTTTGGAGCACTTGGAATTGGAGCTTTTATATGGTACATAAAGAAAGTGAAAGCTAAAGCACCAGTAACATGTGGAGTTGAAACCAATGAAAACAGGCTTTTCTAGATTTCTTTATGTTTGATAAGTTTGTTGATACAAAAACACTCTTTTGTAGTGCATTATCTAAAATTATGAAACTACATAATGTTCATTAGTTGGGAACTTGTGATTCATAGATATGTATCAATATTCTGGCTATATTAACATGATCTTCCAACGTAGCAATTCAATGGACCTGCATTGAGTGTTATAGCAGGCACCATATAAGCTGGAACAGCCACAAAAGATTGAGAAGGTGTATAATTTGGTGCACAACTTCCATAACCAGAAGGTACGAAATAAGCACCATTTGAGAATGCATCTTTTGAAGACCTCCATTTCCAGCTCTTCCAGTTTCCCTTTCCCTTTGCTTCCCTCTTTGTAATCTGTCGCACCATAGTTAATGTTTTAATTCCGCGAATTTGAAATTAAAGTATACTTTGTTTTGTTTTTTGTTTTACCTCTTTTGCATTATTGTCATTTGGTGCTGTAAAAAAGTTGCCTTCACTTAAAATAGTTGGGTTTGCACTTCCTCCTATAGCATACATTTTCCACGCATCATATTTGTTGTTGGCTACATGTGCATAACCAAATCTCACCCTGCACATATCGGTTGTGACTACGTGTTAGTATCGTGGATAATAATCGCTGATGTCAACGTATCAGTGTCAGTGTCATGTATGGTTATGTGTTTGTATTGGTGGTGGTAGTGTGTCAGTGTGAGTATCGTGTCTGATATATCTCTCTGTATCAGTAGTGGTGATATGTTAGTGTTACTATCGTGTCTAATATTTATATCTGGATTAGTGTTTCATAGTAGCTTAGTCTTTAAGTAACATTAGTCTAACCTTGGCATCCTTTCGATTAGCCCACTAGCGAACCGATTGAAAACTATTGTTACTTTCATTATTTTATCGGCGGTGTAATCGTCATTGTGTCCAAGCAACATAACCTGAAAACACATATATTAGTCCATGCATGCTTATATACACATAAGAATTGATCAAAATTTTATTGAACTTATTTAACTTACTTTATCATGCTGAGTGAAGTAATTATTCGAAACAGTAACCGCAGTTGAAGCATGAATAATATCAATTAATCCATCACTACTTCTAGCCAAAAAGCAATGATCAATCCAAATATTTGAGGAAGCAAATATACTAATAGCATCACCATCCGCGCCTCGTCGACGACCAACATGATCAGGACTACTTCTAACAAGTCCGGCATTACTCGGTTTACAATCATGAATACTAATTCCATGTATAATCACATGATTCACACCTTGTATTGTAATACAAGGTCCATTTCCAATCTCAACTTTCACTCCTCTACCATCAATAGTCTTATAACTATTCATAATAAGTTCATTCTTTAATCTAATAACCATATCCCTATCGAAAATAATCCAAAGCGGCTTCGTTTGTATTGCGCCATAACGAAGTGTACCTTGTTTTGGATTCGCAGGATCGTCAGATGAATCAGTAACTATATATATTGCACCATATTTGCCTCCAATTGCATCTTTGCCAAAACCAATAGCACAATCAGCTAAGGCTTTTCGGTTTGACGACCAATTCGGTTTCGCGCGCCAACAAGAATCTATCTTATTGAGGTTTGGTTTCTTAGTGTTATAGTAGTAATCTTTTGAATATGCATTAACAAAGGTTAAAGCAATTGTTAGTAAGAGAAGCGAATATGAAATAGCCATGTTTGTGAATTGTGATGAAGTTTTGAAGTAATTAGAAAGAGATGAATGTAGTGATTAAATAGGTGAAGAGAAAGAGAAGGTTGTGCACACATATTAGGAAATTGACTTAAACATTTTTTTGAGTTTAGTTAAACTTAAAACGTGGTTGCACGAGCTTGGCTAGGTTGACTTATTGTATAATTTCCTAAATTTTTTACTTGAAGAAATTTCTTAAACTTAAATACAAATATGTGAGTAATAATTTTTGTATAGAAATGTATATATTTGAGACGGCATTTAAGTAGGACAAGCACGTCTTGTGAAATAGGCATGAATGAGGATTCAATTCAATATAATAACTTCATATTGAAGTCAAAAGCTAAGGAATGTTATTTAGTTCTAAGTCGTATATTTAATTAGTTTTGAAAGGGAATAATTTTTGAAAACTGTAGTTTTTCGGGCCTACATAAAATAATAATTTGATTGAGAAAGTTTAAGATGATTAAGCTATCACAATTAAAAGTTATTAGAAATGACACAAATACTTATATTTATAAAATAGATATTTTTGGCGCATATGTTAAAGATGAATCCATTAAATCGAGAGTCAGAGTGTGCGGTGAAGATCACTCTCAAAATATTAAACAAACATTTTATTGTTTTGTGAACGTTTAATATTATTGTATTTAAATTATAATAATATAAAATAATAAAAAAATAACAGTTGGGCTGCAATTATTTGTTTGCTTAAATCTCAATACTATCAATGCAGATCAATCAATATTTTTGAGTTATTCTTTTCATCCTTAATGGTAAAGATAGTTGGAAGTGTAATTACAATGCCATGTTGTTCAATAGTAGAAATTTGTAATTTTTTTTTAAGTTCTAACTTGTTATTATATTTAGGGTCATTCGTTATCACCTCATGTGAATTAATTTTAAAATTAATTAGATACGAGTGTATCAGTTATTCATTTTGACGTAATTGATTACAAGTACAAGTTTTTGAATTTTCTATTTTTATATTTGATCATTTGTATCTAACTTGTGTTGTAATATCTATATAAGTGTGATGGGTGCACTGTCACCCAAACTAATGAAAATTTATGCATTTTCACCCTTAATTCTCCATTTCTCTCGATTACTCCTCTTCCACTCTCCACTTCCAAAATTTCTTCCAACATAGTTTCACCAATCTTGTGGTTGCTTGTTCCAACATTTGCCATCATAGAATTCGGTTCAGATCCACAACACCTTGTTTACAACATGAATTTTTTCTTCAATGAAAGAATGCCTACAAATTTACCCATACTTGATGTGAAGAACTATGACAAGTGTTGCAAGCAAATGAAGGTGTTGTTTAGCTCCCAAGATGTTCTTGAGGTGATCAAGAATGGTGTTACTCCTCTCCAAGCTAATGCAACTGATGCGCAACAAACATCACATAAGGAAGAAAAGAAGAAAGATTTCAAAGTGTTGTTCTTGATTCATCAATGTGTAGATGGTGACAATTTTGAGAAAGTTAGTAATTGTGATTCGTCGAAGCAAGCATAAAAGACCTTTGAGAAAGCTTATGCAGGGGCTAACAAGGCGAAGGTGGTTAGGTTACAAACTCACAAATGACAACTTAAATTAATTCAAATAGAAGAGAATGAGACAATCAATGATTTCATGGCAAGAATCACTCGGTTGGTAAACCAAGTGAAGGCATGTGGGAGAAACCATTGAGGAGCAGTATGTTGTGGCTAAAATCTTGTGTTCGTTAACACCAAGATTCGACAATATAGTTGTGGCGATTGAGGAGTTGAAGGATCTTGCAATGATGAGCAAAGATGAATTGTAAAGCTCTATTGATTCTCATGAGCAAAGGATGGAAGAGAGGAACAATGGTAAGGAGAAAGTGGAGATCACTTTGCAAGCTCGTTTCAATGAGAAAGAAAAGAGATCGAAAAGAAAACTGCCCGTGAAGAACAAAGGGAATTTTCATAATTTTGGTGGAAAAGAGTAAAAAAATTCAAGGAATTCGGCAAGTCAAAGGGGTGAGAGCAACTACAACAAACATGGTGGTCAAGGCAATTATAAAGGTGAAAGAAAGAGATTTAACAAGAGTAATGAGCAGTACTACAAGTGTCAACGGTTTGGTCATTATGCAAAAGAATGCAATGCAAACAAGAAGGAATCTCAAAAGGATGAAGCCAAGGTTACAAGACAAAAGTTTGGTGAAGAGAATACACTCTTGTTCAGATCACAGAAGCGAATAGCAGTTGTAAAGAGGTGCGGCACAGTAGCTGCACCAGGTCAAAGAATCCGGAAAAATTGAGCTACAACCGGTTGAATGATACGGTTGACTGGTTGGGCGAAGAGGAAGACGCCATGATGAGTGTGAAAGAAGTTTAATGGAGTAAGAATTGGTATTTGTACTCCGGTTGTTCAACTCATATGACGAGAATAAAGGATTAGTTTGTCAAAATCAATCGTGCCATGTAGAACAAAGTAAAGTTCATGGATGACACCACTCTAATGACCGACGGAATCAGTGATGTTTTAATCATAAGAAGGGATGATGGACATTCCTTGATTAAATATGTCTTATATATTTTAGGAATCAAATGTAATCTTTTAAGTATTGGAAAATTACATAAGAAGGATTACAAGATTCATGTGGAAAACAATAGGTTGCGCATTATGGATGCAAATGGATGTTTAGTCCTTAAAGCGCCAATGGTTGCCAATAGAACCTTCAAGGTTGAGTTGAAGGTTATAGAGCATATATGTCTTGCTACTGCAGCAAGTCTTGAAGAGTGGGTGTGGCACTATCGTCTTGGACATCTCAATTTTAGAGATCTCAAGGAGTTGCAAAAGAACATAATGGTAACGGGGCTGCCGACGATCAATATTCTAGCTGAAATTTGTGAAGAATGTGTGTAAGCATAGTAACATATAAGAAAATTCAGCAATGATGCAGACCGGAGAACCAAAAATCACCTTGAGGTGGTGTATTCGGATGTGTGTGGGCCTATGCAAGTAGATTCCATTGGTGGCAATAGGTACTTTGTCACTTTTATTGATGATCATAGTAGAAAGCTATTGACATACCTTATTAAGAGAAAGGGTGAGGTATTCGGCGTGTTTAAGAAGTTCAAGCCCATGGTGGAGAGGCAAAGTGGTCACAAGCTCAAAGTGCTCAAAATAGATGGTGGAGACGAATATGTCTCAAATGACTTTGGGAGGTTTTGTGATCAAGAAGGGACAGTACATGAGGTAGTATCACTCTATACATCGCAGCAAAATGGTGTAGCAGAAAAGAAAAATCGGTCAATAATGAACATGGTGAGAAGCATGTTGAAGGGGAAGAACTTGTTGAAGGAGCTATGGGGAGAAGCGGTATCTACAACCACCTATTTGTTGATAGGTTCCTTACAAAGAGGCTGGAAAATGTAACACTGAAGGAAGCATGGTCGGAGTTCAAGCCAAATCTAAACCATTTGAGAGTCTTTGTTCTTTGCATATCGACATGTTCAGGGTCAACTTAGAAAGAATTTGGATGATAAGGGTGAGGTGGTGATTCTTATTAGATATCACTCTACCGATGGTTACAAACTGTTTGATGTTACAAACACGAGAATCGTGATCAAGTTAGATGTGATGATCGATGAAATGAAGCAGCTGCAAAAGGGCGTAACTGATTACCAACAGAGCGTAACCGGTTACATGCAGGCTGTAACCAGTTACCAGAATCCTGTAATCGGTTACAGGTTTGAGTTTTTGGATTTCTGAGGTAGCAAAAAAGCTCAGAACAGCATGTCATTAAAGCCCATGGTGAAGGAGATGTTATGAAGTCAACAAGGCAAAGGGGTTTTCCTCAGAGACTCCAAGATTGTGAGCTGTTTTGTGATAATGAGGTCAATGACAATGGTGATTTCTTCCACTTTGCACTTATGGCCAAATTTGAACCAGTGAATACGAAAGATGCTTTAAGTGATCCAAAGTGGATTTGCGCTATGAAAAAGGAGCTGGAATCCATCGAGAAAAACAATACTTGGGAGCTAGTTGATCTACCAAAAGGAAATAAGCTAATTGATGTGAAGCTGGTGTTCAAAGTGAAAGCAAATCCCAAGGGTGAGATAATCAAGCATAAGGCTAAATTAGTGGCTAAGAGATTTTTGTAAAGAGAAGGCATAGACTTTGAAGAGGTTTTCACACTATTTGCTCACATTGAAACCATTAGGCTTGTTATTTGTATTGCAAATAACCACAATTGGCCTATCTACCAAATGGATGTCAAATCCATATTTTTGAATGGACCACTTGAGGAGGAGGTGTATGCAGGACAACCCCTTAGTTTTGTTGTTAAAAATTAAAAGCTGAAGTTTTAAAAGTTGAAGAAAGCGCTATATGGTTTGGAGCAAGCTCCAAGAGCTTGGAATAGAAGAATTTATGGTTTCCTAAAAGACATTGGCTTCAAGAAATGTGTATCGGAGCATGAAGTTTATGTGAAGATGGATGTGAGTGAAGGAGTAATCATCCTTTGTCTATATGTGGATGATTTTTTTATTACGGGAAACAATGAGGAGAGTATTTCAAAGCTCAAGAGAGAACTTATAGAAGAATTTGAGATGATGAACCTTGGTATCATGACATACTTCTTAGGCATAGATTTCCACAAGTCAAAGTTGGGACTGCTCATGCATCAAAGAAGTTATGCTCTTGAGATATTGCAAAAAGCATGAAATAGAGCATTGTAATGCTTTCACTTCTCCTGTATAACCAAGGTTGCAGTTGTCCAAGAATGAAGATGAGGAAGATGTTGGTCTTACTCAATATAGGATGTTGATTGGACCATTAAGATACTTATGCAATACGCAACTAGACTTAGCGTTTAGTATTGGTATTGGGAGTAGATTCATGATGAGACCGAAGGTGTCTCACTTGGTCGCAGTCAAGAGGATCTTGCGTTATGTCAAAGGTTCTGTTGGCTGTAAAATTCTCTTTCCCACAGCGGATACGGGAACAAAATGTGA